AAAAAAAAAAAAAAAAAAAAAAAAAAAAAAAAAACATGTAATTGCAAAAATGTCTTTCAGTTGCTTTACGACTCAATCATTTTCATCTTTCAAATTCACCGCCGTATCTTGTTCAGAAACTGCATCTGACACTTTAAAACTAAACAGGAAAGACTTTCCACTTATTTCTTGCGCTGTTTTATTTATGATTGCCTTGACCAATGCTCAACTGTTTCTTCCGTTCGTCGGTTTTGGTCATCGACCAATCTATATTTTTGCTGCTTCACTAACCGCTCAAAGGCAGTCTGAATATTGAAGTCACCAGTTTCCAACTAAATTTTGAAGATGGAAATTGGGTTTGTTATACACAGCTCAGCGGTAAAACAATTCGATTGGAGAGGCGTTTTGTGGGCCCGAAACCCCGGAAAAGAAAAGATAATTCTTCTTCTAATTCTTCATCTTAACAATTCTCTTTCTTCTTCTTGTAAAAGATTTCGCTAATTGTCAACTTTATTAAACTCGACTTATAGCACCGTCGTATCTATGTTCTCATCATTTTTTAGTGTTACTATTTGGTTTTTCTGCATCTTCGTTTATTTATTTATTTTCGTTTTCAATGATTGGTAAACATTTTGAACTCAAATCAAAAGCTGTCCTCCCTCTTAAAACAAGTGTTGATGATGTAAAACAGCGAAAGAAAAAGCAAAAAATAATTTCATCAAAACAAAAAATAGCAAAACAAAAAACAGCAAAAGATGTAAAAATATCGTGATTTTTTTTTACTAACATTCCTTCTTTTTGCTCCTTTTTTTCAGACAAATTGTTATCTTTCATTCTATTACTTGATTTCAGTTTTTTATAAACACCCTCTCCTTGTAACTCGGCTTCTCCACCCTCTCTCTCCCTGCCCCCCCCCCTCCGTTTCTAAAATAATATAAAAAATGTTATTATATTATATTGTTAGAATATAAAGTTTATTTTTTAAATTTTTTGTTTTTCTCTCCTCTCCACCCTCTTCAAATCCTTCAACAAATTTTTTTTTGTTAAACGTGAAATCTATTAAATTTGTACTGTACAACGATTAAGCAACTGATCGCAGCAGTAAAAGCAGTACATCTTTTAAAATACTAACGATTAAAACATTAACTAATCTTTGGCTCTCTTAACAGCACATTTAACGACAACCAAATAAATTTCTTGCAGATATAATTGTCAATTTCTGTTTGGCAATTTTTTTCACTTTCTTTCTTTCTTTTACTCTGTTTTTTTTCTTCTATGATAACAAAACAAAAAGAAAAAGAGGAAAAAAGTTCGAAACTATAGTTATTTGAATAAATACGGTCATATTCTAACAAAGAAACGTATTTATAAGCGCGGTTTAACCTTTCAAATCCAAACTCATTAACATCGTTTTGCCTAATTTATTGCTTTGTTCTACATCTCCATCTGTATAACTGATGAAAAATTGCCGTCGACATAGTGCACATAAAAATTCTTTAATTGTCACAGAAAAAATAGCGAAAAAAAAATTTTTTTTTTCTTTCTTATTTATTCGTCCGATCATTGGTAAAGCTTTCTAGAGGCCCAATAAACAACACAAAATGTAAACCCCCGAGTATTTGTACATCAATATGTTTACAGTTCAATGAATTAAAGAGTTAAATTACTAAAAATTGGAAAAAAAGGGTATTTATGTATAGAAGACGGTATAGCAGCAGCAAAAAAGTTTTACACTTCTGTGCAAAACCCAAAAAATTTGCCATTATCTGTAGGCTGTAGTCAGTTCAGTAACTGCCGATTATCACACACGAAACTAATTCAATTTATAACAAACTTAAATGCATCATAAAAAATTGTAAAATTTCTAATACATTGTTAATATCAATCGTAGCTATAAAACTGACCACTAAACGCTGCTGTGTCGTTGGTACATCAACAATAGCAACTCCAGGGCCCTCCTGAAACGATTATTATAGTGCTCCTTCAAATAACCTTTGCCAGAACGGTAACTACTAATACGTAGTTGGCAGTCATATACTAATAAAAGTTTTCACAGCTCAGAATAATCGAACAAATGATTCTTTGAGTTGCATTCAAAGTTTTGAAGCTCTGGAGATGCTGTTTACGATCAAACTGCAAAATATTTAGCCAAAAATAAGTAACCTGATAGTAGGCATTGCTTGAATTAATAGCTGAAGCAGTCATGATGTTATGCGAAGAACCTCCTCGTAAGGTACCTCGCTGCTGCCATTCACGTCTGTCCAACGATTCAGTGCCATCATCAAAGTGTTCCAAACAAGTTTCTGAAAAATCAAAGAAAACCTTTAAAAAGTGATTTTTCTTTTGGTATCCTACAACTTTTCTTTTATTGTTTCTCTACACAAAAAAAGAAAGAATTTAATTTGTTTGTTTAAATAATAAAATAAAATTAATCTGAGATCTGCAAAATGTAAAAAAGACTTATGTGCCGAATGATGATTTCTTCTTTTTCAACCTTTTTGTTTTCCCACCATTCATTCCTTTCTCCCTTTCATTATAAATTTTCTCTGCTTTTACGGTAAAAAAAATTTTATAAACAGCAAAAAAAAGAAAAAAAAAGCAGAACAGAGCAGAACAAATAAATTTTTATGGTTCAGAAATGGTTACAGATAAGTCGATTTTTAAAACAATAATTAATTAGTTAATTAATTAATTAATTAATTAACTAAATAAATAAAAGTGAAGATAAAAAAGTGATGTGTAATCTACTGTTTTTCCCATTCTTTCTCCTAAATCTGGTAGTTTTTGTAACATTTGCTTTTAGGAAAACAAAAAACTATCAGCTGACTTTAATATCAGTTTTTTCAGTGTTATCACTGTGTTCCCTCTGAAATTGATGTAATAATTTTTCCTACACTTCCTATTGTTTTACTATTCGTTTTCTTCGATTAATTAACTTTACTATTTTGATATTATTGTCGTAAAAAAAATTTTTTTTTCGATGCTGTGGCGTCAAATTAGCCTTCTGCTGCTAAAATTTGTTGGATACAGCGGCAGAAGCAGTAGCAACAGCGGCAACAACAATAACAACGGTAGCAGCTGCAGAAGGAGGCTGAAGATGAGGGGTAACATTGGCAATAGCAGCAAATATTTAACAACAGCAATAACAGCAAACA